GTAAACTTGAGATCGGTTGTATGCCAAAGCTGAAGGAGAAGCATTTTAATTTGACCTTCTCGTCAAAGATGTCGGTGAAGCTAGCAGCTCAAGTGTTTAGCAATCACTGCGCAGCTGCAATGTATGCCCTTGTTACTTCTTAGCAATTGCCAGCCACAGCTGTTCACACCGCGAGATTCGTTGAAAGAATCGACCGTCTCTTTGACAGCCTAGATATCTCGCAGAAATCTGCAAAGACGCCATATGCCTCTGCAATCTGTAACGGTTCTATCCATGAGGAGTTTCTGAAAGAGTGCATTCTGGTTTTTAAGAGCCTGCAAGTACTCGGATGTGGAAGGCAGCCGCACTGCATTCGTGGCTTCTGCTTAACAGTTAGGTCTCTACTGCTGCTCAGCAGTCACCTCGCGGTTAATTGCGGTTTTTCCCACCTTTTAAGCCGCCATCTGAACCAGGACACCCTTGAAAACACTTTTGCTGTTATACGTTCAAAATCAGGAGCAAACAAGAACTCCACTTTCCGTCAATTTCAGGCTGCGTTCAGGCACCTTTTGATTAGCAACCTATTCAAGCTGTCGGAAAAATCAAACTGAGCTGATGACATGTCTCTCCTTGCTACGTTCCCAGCAGACCTTTTGGCACCTTCTCCTCGTCTTGCCTTAGGAAGCACAGTTTTTCTTACCACGGCAGACGATTCGCCTTCAAACTACACTTTGGCTATAGGAGAGAACATGGTTTATTTTGCTGGGTGGCTGGCATCGAAATTCCTCAAGGTTCATTCCTGTGTAGGAACATCCCAGAAATATGAGTTGAGGACAGAAAATGCGTGTTTTTCTGAGGGAAATCAAGTGCTCTTGTATTTTAGTGTGAAAGGAACTGCCGACTCCCACTTTGGAATCCTCTCAGTTCCTTCTGCTTCTTTCATATTATTTGTTGAAGCCTGTGAGGAAGTCTTCGAGACATGCATCAACAACCTAATTTCAAAGGAGAACGTAGGACGGACTCTTTGCGTCCTTTTTTACCAGAAGATTTCAAAGTCTCTGACTGTATGTGACGAAAGTGTTTATGATAATTTGTTTTCTCTGATTGCCAGAATCATTCTGCACTGGTTCGCGCGAAAAAGAAATGCTGACTATTTCATACAGTAGCAAAGTGTAAAGCTAGTCTGCAAGTGCGCAGACTACGTATGTGAGACCACCCAGAGTACTTTTTAAAGCAGTGCAGGCATGTTCTATTCGAGCCTTTCATTTTCTTCGGTTTCTTGAGGAGTAATGTAGTCTTCTAACTTATTCACATATATAAAGTTTAAAGCTGTGAAGCAAAACTGGCTTATGAAGTGCAGCATACCACAGGGCTCCAAGAGGGTTTACTTCACTTGGCTTCCTTGACCAGCACCAAACAATCGCTGCGTTGCAGTGTAGCAGCACCAGCAGATGCAAGTTAAGATATTTTCAGCATTATGGTACCTTGCCCAAGGAATGTGTAGAAAAGTGTAGCTTTTCTGTGTATTACAGTGGTGGCCTTAGTTGTCGTCGGAACACTGTGGAACCTCCGAGTTATTAGTGGCTGCCTATCAACTGTCAATGTCCTCACAACATCCAGCCGATTGTACAATGTCTTATGTTGTAACAGTGTGCCTTATGTACCGATCTACTAATTTTCTTCGACCATGACCTTTTGAAAATAGTTGATACCGATTGTATAATTCTAGTGAGTAATCTGAGTGAATGATTGTAAGGGAATAAAACAAATAAAACGTGACTGTTAAAGCGACGTTGGACTTGCATTAGAGTTACTGTTGTGTATTTCATACGCCCAACACACTCCAGCAATTTGATTCACTCTTTTTTGTGACATTACAAAATTTGCTTTAAGGTTTCTCACATACTTCCCAGGGATCCTGAAGGAACAAAAAGCAAAACACTGCGGCTGGAGTTTGACCACAGTGCAAAGACACGATGGTTGTGACGAAATGAAACTACTCTCATAGCAGGTCGGCTAACAAAGTCGGCTACAGAAAAAAAGCATTTCGAACAAAATATAAGAGCAAGGGCAAATAAGGGTGTAAACGATCCAGTATTCCAGTATAGAGTAAACACAAGGTGTAAACACCCCAAGAAAAATCCCAGACTGCAGGTGAAAAGAACGACATATACACTAAAAAAGTGTCAAACAAAGCTCAAACACGGAGCTATGTTTGAGACTTTTTAGTGTATATGTCGTTCATTTACCTGTGATCTCTGGAATTAGTTTTGTTTAATTTTCGCGCCAAACCGCACGCACGCATGACGTCACAATTTTTTTCCGGAAATGTCGTCATTTCCTGTTGATTTTTTGTTCCGCCGGAAGTGTCCCCACGACTCATAGATGGCGCTAAAGCAGCTCCATGGGCCGCCATTTTTTCGACATGTGGGCTTCTATGCAGGGGGGTAAAGGTGGGTGAGGAGGAGTGGCAAATCCCGTGCGCCGACATCCTGGGTCCCGAGTGAACGATCGCAAAAGAGAGCGACAGAACACGAGAGAAAGAAAGCAACGTTGCCATGGGAAACACGGAGAGTGAAAACTCTCAGCAATATAAACAGTGATAATTTAACGTCGTAAACTAAATTCTGAACTACTCTAACGCTTATAAAAAGCAATAAAGTCATTACGCTGCATTAACTTCCCTTCTGTCGAAATCTCGGAAATCTGGTGGTCGCGCAGTTTCGTATTCCTCAACCGCGCCCAGCCGCGCCCCACCAGCGAAGCCGGGTATATGGTTTAGTTTAGCGTTAACGCGAGGCCGTACATCTGCGCGCTATGCAAAAAGAAACCTTCGAAAAGAACGCGAGTATCTTTCCACCGGTAAGTTCGTGGATTGTTGAAGTTCACGAAACTGCTCTGATGATGTAACCGTGTTTGGGACCCAGAGGGTCTGCCTGCATGGTCCGCCGCTTGCGGCAGCCAGAATGTATGGGAAAATGGCGGACCTTTTCCTCTAGTTTTAGTATATGATCTCTATGCTTCTATGGAAGCTTCGCTACCCATGTACATATACCTTGGTACAGATGGTACAGAAGCGAAAGGAGCGATTTGGTTTCGATTTCGGACACAGCATGGCGCTGATAGGTTATCAGGGTTTCCAGCGTCTTCGGCCTCTCAGCCACTTGCTGAGAGGCAGAAGTTAGATGGTGCCTGTTTTAAATAAATTATAATTTTGACAAAAAAAAAATTTAATGCTTTAAAATGAAGCGAAACAAAACAGTTTTGTCATCTACTTTGGAGAAACAAATTTTACCAGTCAGAGTCAAAAGTGCGTCTTAGTTTCGGTTTAATATCGAGAAAAAGATTTCTTATTTTTATTCAACATAAACCTCTCTTTATTTTTTTTTTTAAATTGCGGTTACAAAGATGTGGGTGCATACGATGACATTTTTATTGCTAGTTATTTTTTTATTAATGTAAAATAGTAAAAAAAACAAGGGTTGGGGACGGGCAAGGGGGACGGAGGACGTTGTAGGCCACTGATCTCTATGTCTATTTGCTGGATCGCGTTTGACCAGCTCCTCCTATGGACCGGAATGCGGTCACTGGCGGCCATCTTTAGGTAGAGTTATATCATCTCTAGCCATCATAGTAAAATGGCGGACAGCGCAATGGCGGCAGGCTGCCATAAAATAGCCGTAGATCTAGTACACTGTACCGTGGGTGACATTTCGTGCTTGATTGAAGTTGTTCGACGAAGCAGATTATGGAAACCCGGCGTGAACGGTAGCCTCATCTTTGAGGACCCGGCAAAAGTTCTACGAAAGCGCAGCACCGGGGGAAAGCAGCGCAGCTCGCATCAAAAGCAGACTCCGTACCGTCGTCTGCTTTCGATGCTTCTTTCAATGCGACTTTTGATACGTGCTGTGCTGCTTTTCTCCCGGTGCTGCGATTTTGTGAAACTTTTACCAGGTCCTCAAAAACCGGACTACTGTTCACGCCGGGTTTCAAAAACATGTTTCGTCAAATAATTTTAATCAAGCACGCAATATCACCCATGCTATTTTGACCGCAGCCTGCCAACCCACCTGCCAAAACGCTATCTGCCGTGGATGGATCATAGCGGCTGCAGCAGCTTACATTGGCTAGAGGTGATATAACTCTACCTAAAGATGGCCGCCAGTGACCGCATTCGCGGAGCGGGCAAACGCGATCCAGCAATTGTCATAGAGATCAGTGTTGTAGGCCATTACACCAGGCAAATCATCTAAGGGCATGGTTAAAATAGCGCGAACTTTACAAGGACAAAAAATGTACACGTACGACAGGACTGGCGCAACGCCAGACGTGTGCCTTCTTTTTCCTTGTCAAGTTCTCGCTATTTTAATTATGTCTAATAGCAACAAACTAGCCCAGTCAAAAGTCGTGTTACTTCTAAAAGGACTCGAAAATAAAATAGAAAATACAGTAGTGCGATAGTCTACGTCACGGGACCCTGACCCCCCTGACCGCTCGCTTTCCAGCGGAACATCGCGATTATATTTACCGAGCAGTATCTGCGTTTGATATTTGGCGATATTTTTTGCAGCGTTGTAGAAGTAGCATGTTGAATTTATTGTACCCTCGAAAAGCGGATTGGTACCTCGTTGGTTTTCACCGTTTTCACTCATGTTCTGCGCGTGCTTGCGCGTTCACATTTCTGTTAGCAAGGGCATAAAGTTCGCGCTGAATGCGGAGCTTAAACAATCGCATACTCGCTTTCGGCCTTTTGTTTTTCGACATTCGTGGTTATATATAACGTCGATTAAATCATACTAATATTGTCAGTGCGCATCCTCTGTGGAACAGTACGGATGTAAGTAAATACACCCATGCCTTTTAAACTAACTCTTGTTTAGCGCACGAATATCTCGGACGAAATTAATGTGGCATACATATTCCTCACAGCAGCCCGACAAATGCTTCCTCGGAGGCTCCAATTGAAACGGCATTGAGAATGCCATTTCCCGACAACAGCGCCGCGGAGCTGCCCTAGCGGACGTCCCTGATCTAACTACGCCCGATCAGCGCTGGCCCGATAGCCTGCGCATAAATGCGCTGGTTTCGGTGTCGTCGATCGCAGTGGAACCGTACTGAAAAAGAAGATCGCCGCCAGCATCCTGTTCCCTAAACCCCACAACATCTGCCCAAGCCACAAGCTTCTCGGCGGACGTTCCGAAGATGCATCGCGTGCTCAACAGTCTGCCAGCGAAGGCGTCGCGCTGCCTCGGCGCGTGTCTGCTTGCCGCGAGCAGACGCCAATCTTTTGTCGCGTGCCGATGGGGCGGCAGCAGCACTGCGGCGGAACCGACGGAACCCCGGCTGCTTACGTCCTCCTTCCCGGGGCCCAAATCAGAGGCCCTGAAGAGCGAGCTCAACGCCATCCAGAATACGGGCGCCGTGCAGATGTTCGTGGACTACGAGAAGTCGATAGGAAATTACTTGTACGACGTGGACGGCAACGCCTTCCTGGACATCTACACGCAAATCTCGTCGCTGCCACTCGGCTACAACCACCCGGCCCTCGTGGCGGCCGTCAAGAACCCCGCCAACGTTGCCACCTTCGTGAACCGCCCGGCGATGGGGATCCTGCCTCCGAGCGACTTGGTGTCCCGTCTCAAGAATGCGCTGCTGTCCGTCGCGCCTTCGGGTCTTGCCGAGGTGCAGACGATGGCCTGCGGGTCCTGCTCCAACGAGAACGCCTACAAGGCCGTGTTCATCAACTACATCGCCAGAGAGCGCGACGGCAGGGCGCCCACCGAGGAAGAGCTGCACTCCTGCAGATTCAACAAAGTCCCAGGGAGCCCCAGGCTTTCTCTGCTGTCCTTCGACGGCGCCTTCCACGGCCGCACCTTCGGGGCCCTGAGCACGACGCATTCCAAGGCCATCCATAAACTGGACGTGCCGTCCTTCGACTGGCCCATCGCTTACTTCCCGCAGTACAGGTACCCCCTAGAAGACTTTGAGTCGGACAACCGTAAAGAGGACGACAAGAGCCTGGCCCACGTCGAAGAACTCTTCCACGTGTACCGCAAGAAGGGCCTTCCCGTGGCCGGTCTGGTGGTCGAGCCAATCCAGGCCGAAGGTGGGGACCGCCACGCCTCGGACGACTTCTTCCGCCGTCTGCTCAAGCTCGCCAAACAGAGCGACGTCCTTTTCATCTGCGACGAAGTCCAGACCGGCTGTGGTCCCACCGGTCGGTTCTGGGCTCACCAGCACTGGGGTGCGGAGGATTCCCCCGACTTCGTCACTTTCAGCAAGAAGATGCTGACCGGCGGCTACTTCTACAAGGGCCACGTCCGTCCCAAGGAGTCCTACCGCATCTTCAACACCTGGGTTGGTGACCCGACCAAGCTGCTGCTCGTCCAAGAGGTCCTCAAGGTTGTGAACAGTGAGGAGCTCCTCAGGAATGTCGTAGAAACAGGGGACTACATGATGAAGGGGCTGAAGGAGATTGGGAAGCGCCATCCAAACTCCTTTTTTAACGTCAGGGGTCGCGGAACCTTCTGTGCAGTGGACCTACCGACGGAAGCAGACCGTAACAAGTTTGTGCTGGCCATGCACCTCAAGGGAGTTCACTGCGGAGGCTGCGGAAATAACAGCTTCAGGATCAGGCCAGCACTGACGTTCCAGAAGAAGCACGCAGACATCATGCTGGACCGCGTCGAGAGAGTTCTTTCCGATATGTTCTGAGCAAGCATGCTGCATTTTCGTCTTTTCAGAGTATGCCCCAAGGGCCGTTGTTGATGGGATATGTTCCAACGCATTTGAGCCTGGGAGGACGCGACAAAACTCCAACCACTGTTTCCACCTCTCTTTCCGACCACATCTCGAATTGGTCTAAATGTTTCTCGCCTATCGACCTGCCTTTTTGGCATCTTGTTGTTGATGTTGACCAGTTGGTGTTGTCATTTGTTCATTGTTAATTGACAGCACAGAGGAACAAGTGACTGAGGAGGTCTTGAAAGTTGCGAGAAGAGCGTCAGCTTGCAGGTCTTATTACCCTCTTGGCATTTTACAAGCCGCGAGGTTTACATGTGGTAATGCAAGCATGCTATTTTTAACCAGGCCAGCTTTTTTTCCCCCAGTTTATAGGTCCTTGCTATTACTGCTTCGAGGCTTATACCGCCAAAATATTTTGAGAGCTATGCTTTAGACGAGTATTTTTCCTGCACCAGTTAGGGTTTTTACAGTAAACAAGGCAGGCATTTGTAAGCATGCCGAGGGGAATGGACAGCCAAGTGTAATGAGGAATGAAGAAATGACTGTGTACCTTTCTGCCGAGTATTACCACTCTCCTGACATACTTGTTTTTAACAACAGTGTACCACCTTTCTTGTTGTCACATTCCTTAAAAGTGCCTGCCTATGTAACAAGCATGTACGGAAGTTTAAGAAGGTCCACTTGGTTCAAGTAGCATTGCTAGTTTACACAACTGCCCAGCCAGGTCTTCGTGCAATGCTTATCTGCAGCAGAAGGTAGCAGAGCTCAACAGTTGCCTTTCAACCAAGCTGTTGAGTCTGCCAGACCGTTGAGCCCCACTTGCGGTGATATCATCTGCGTGGCATACATTTGAAATTGTTCCTCTATGTTGGGTAGCTTACGCAAACAGATGTTCATATTAGCACTTGTGTTTTAATTTAACATCTCGTTTTTATGTATACATTTAACAAATGTGCAGTATATATTATTTGTTTGTAACCTTGTTACTTATCCCGGTGGTTACATTGTTATTGCTCAGGGGTGTCAAATGGATAAAGAGCACAAAACGAACAGAAAGAAAACAGACATGTACAAGTACATGTCTGTTTTCGTCCGTCTGTTCGTTTTGCGCTTTTTTACTGTTCCATCTGTTCCAACACGCTCGTCACAATCCTCATCTGTCTTATGTCATTCTGAAAACTAGTGCGACTGATTTTGTCCAGAACTGGATCGAGCGCATTTTAATATTTTAAGGAATAAAGGTTCAATATCTGTCCACATTCTGTCAAGCGATGTAGCAATTTAGGAATAGACCCACACACTCTTCTGTCTACCGACCTTGCTACCTTTATGAAACGGGGCTCCCTCAATGATGGGCAATTTGATACAGCACGATATGGAAATGAACTCTGTTCTGGCTGGCAAGCTCCAATACCGTGCATCATCAAACAATGGATACAAAAAACAGGTGGATACCCGGAAGGCATCAAACAGAAGAATTAGAAAACATTTTCAAATGGAGGCTCGGATAATCAAGACATCTTTTTTGTGCTGCCTAATGTGGTGTGGGCAGAGTACACCAGAGTGCTTACAGCACATCATAAGCAGTTGCCAGTGGGCATCTAGCTTTCAGGTTGCAGCCAAGCTGGAAGTAAACAACACATTAGAACTAAGGGAGGAGGCGAGCTGGTGAATATTAACCATGCTGCATTAACCCGAGACTGGGGTACGAGGTAAACATCAAGACGTAAAAGGGACAAAATATACAGGACGTCATGAACTCGGGTAACTCGTTTATTTAGTCCACCTCTTTATGTAGTGTCAAACTTTAGGTCTTCAACACCAACACAGAAGGAAAAAGTGTAGTTTAAATAGTTCGAGCATTACAATCGTCATTGCACAATGCAAGAATGGGGACAACCTTGCAGGTTGACATGCTAAGGCAACGACCATCCTACAAACTTGAACAAAAGGAATCGGATCATTCTCCCCTTCTCTTCTAAACACAGTTCCCACTTTTGGTGCAAAAGACACCCTCTCTACCCGATAGCCTGATTTATACAATTGCCTAGAGATTTTATCCGTAGAGTCACCATTACCAATCTTTTTTTTTACATCATTCCTTTCCTTGTGTATGATTTACATACAAGTGGGAGGTAGTGTTTTATAGCAGTCAAATTTAGCCTCGCATATGCTTTGGTCATTTTATCTGGGTATACACATTTTCACCCTCCGTCACATGGGCACCGCCATCTTTGAGTCTGGTGACGCAGCCGCAATAAGGTGACTTCAACTCGTCACTCCTCGCGCCTTGGCCAAGTCGTCACATTCATGTTTTTTGTTGCGTTATACTGCAATGTTTTACTTTGCTTTGTGAAGTGCCGTCTGATACTGATACTGTCTGATACTTCGGAGTACCGGATACGCGTAAGGAAACCAGTGTGTCGAACCGAAAAAAATATGGGTTCGGTTACGGTTCAGGTTCAGGTAAATTTATTTTGTTCCGGTTCAGTTCCGGTTCGATTACTTCGATCCGCGAACCGGTTCGGGGCGCTGAACCGGTTCGTGAACCGGTTCGGAAATTATAAATGACAAATTGCAACATCAAAATAAATTACAAATAAAACATCTGAAATCAGCACATACAAAACGGGATACATCGTAGTGTAAGGCTCAGGGATTTCTACCAGGAATGGTTTCTTTATGTGCACTCAAAGGTTACCTTACCGACGTTTACGCATTCGGACTTCATCTAATTGGGTCCGACGCAGTAGCTGTAAAATCCGCGACCTCCTTAGAAACCCACTTACAAGTAGAACTCGCTAACCATCCCGCCACCTCGGCGTGTAAGCAATTGAAGGAACAGTGGGGAGAAAATACAGCTTTCTTTATTTGAACTAGCCTTCAATAACTCAAATTAGACCCTTAAAGAAGTTTTCATTAAACAACATACGGAATATGAAAAACACTTCATCGAACGCAATGCCAGAAGGACGTAATAGCATAAATATTAAAATAGAAGAGTTCGCTGTCTCACAAATATGTTAGCTTCTAAGTGCCTATACGAAACCGGATGCATTATTATCAAACTCCACGGCCTTTTCTTTTCTCATTCCGATGGAAGCAAGCTTCAAGAACTCGCACGTTCTAGAAACGTGTTATGAAATGAGCACACAGCAGCATTTAGGATTTACGAGATTGTAAGAAATTAAAATCCCGTGACGCGATTTTTTTTTTTTTTTTTTGCACAGCCTTTTAATTTTCTTTTTTCCGTGCAAGCCGCGACCAGCGCAATACTGGTTCCTATGTCAAGATTCATGGATGCAGCGTTATATTCCTAAGACTGAGTAAAGAAGAAAAATATGTAAGTGAGGTGTGTGTCAGTTGACGGCACTTAAAAAACAAATGGCATTGATAGCACATTCATTGTCAACAGCACGTTGCCGAACCGTTTTGACATGAGCCGGTAACCGTTATTTTTTTTCCGGTTCAATTCCGGTTCGGGTTCATCGCAATAACAATATAACGGTTCGGGTTCAGTTCCGGAAAAAATACCGGTTCGGTTTCGGTTTTCGGTTCGGTTCGGTTCCGGTTCGACACCCTGGAGGAAACGAATCGGCATTAACACTGGCACACATTTAGTATGTACACGAGGGTTGAGAGGCCAATTATTGACGAGTACAAATTTGTGTAAGTAATAGTGGCTTAAGAAGAGCAAAGTATATTTACGAACATGGATTCATGATCTTAAAGAAGGCAAATATAGTCAATGCAAGGAGCTACTATGTATGTTTGTTAAAATCATTGTGCTCTGCCTTTATAACAAATTCAAAACAGTCGCTTTTGATTATATGGGGAAATCATTTTTGCGGTATGAACATTCGCTTGATACATTTATACATTAATTTAAAGAAACTATACATTGCGCTAGGTCCCATGTCCACAGTCATTAAATATTCTTAAGATATCCAATTCACTTACTTTTTTTGTATACACAAAGGGTTGGCTCCCAGGGTGAAAAACGGGTAAAAGACAGCTTGTGAGTGCCTGACAAAAGCGCCTAGGTACACCATATGTAATGTCGAAGAAAAGCCATCTGCATAGAAATCGCTCAAGTGCAGCGTTGTCGATGCCGAATACACTCTCAAAGCCGCGGAAAAGGACATTGAAAGTAGACGCTGCTGAAAGCGGCATCAATGTCGCCGACGTTGCATCTGTTCAAACAAATAAAGATCTAGTCTACAAAAAGCAATGAAGTGGTGCCTGGCATTCGACTTCAGACAAGCTTGCTCAAGGTCAATTCTCTTGTGCCATTTATTTTTATTGCACCAATTATACGGAAGACAGATGTAGCACTTCACTTGATAGGTTTGTCTCTTATCTCATATTTGAAATATGTTGTAAGGAAACGTCCACATAAGAGGGTTTCCTAAGGTCAACATCTGCTGCAATACCGCTAATTAAAAATTACCTACTCAACCTAGGATTGATCATTGAAACATCTCTCGAGTACTTAATCTGTTTAAAGAAACCGATAGAGGCACTATCACTTCTTTTTTTAATTCTATGCATCATTACAGGGGGGTTTTTTTAGTCGTAAATCTTCACAAAACGTTGGTGTCCTCAAAAATCGAACAGTGAGCACACTTGCAAGTTCATCTGTTCTCTGCAATTAAGCACATTGTTAGACAGGCTGTCGATCTCCTTTTTCACTGTGCCTCCATGCATTAGACTCTTCATTCATTTACTTTCATAGAAAGGTGTCGGCTGGTACGTCCAGTATGACTGTAGACATTGGTAATCTTTCTCCCGCATCATTTCGGTCGTTTCGCTGCCGAACTTGGCCGATTGACGAACATGATCAGATGAAGGTGTTTGTCAAAACGTCTACAATTTGGGCTCATAACCACGTGGTAGCTCCCAAGGTGGCCGATTACCACAGTATAATTGGTTGTTGTACCAGGAGGGATACATTTATATAACAAAAATAAGTGGAACGACATAACACACCATTACAGCCGCGAGCTCACTGAAACCGAAACCAACCAAACTGAAGCCACCTTATGGAGCCACATGTGTCAGCGCCCCCGTCCGCCGGTCAGGTAACTACCGAGATAAAAAGGTCTATAGTGGCTGGAAAAAAAAAGTGGCTCAGTGTTTGTCTGCGTTGAAAAAAACATGAGCAAAAACAACTATAAGCTAATATGTTTGTGCATCGTCCTTCCTCCCAACCTTGACAGAAATTCCCAGTTGGGCCACTGACAGGATCGTAAGTTTATTCTACGAGGAGCAGGCTAAACGACGGCGCATGTCGGGAAACGCCTGCTAGCGTGGCGATACAAGTGTCCAGTCGACCCTGTTCAGGAGGAAGAAATTGGCGCAAGACTTCTGGGTGGGAGCAAGCGCAATGTCGTGGTCCATGCTGTGCTTCCTGATGGCAGCCCACGTCCCGATGATGGCCGACAGCCAGAGTCCCGCACGCATGCTCTGCCCTGCAAAGGACAGGGATGGCGCATAAGTTGCGCAAAGGGTGTGGTGTCGGTCGGAAGAGAACTTTCCAAGGCCGAATACGTAACCCACCGCATGCAAAATGTCAAGTCCTTGACTCTGCATCAGTAATTACGATTGCCTTATGATGATACCGGAATATTGATGGCTGCCTTTTGAACTGCTGGGATTTCCCCGATGCTAAAATTGTGACTCTTATATCCGTAGCGCAATGCGTAGTGTTACAGCTGACCCTTCTCCAAACCCCTTCGAGCAAAATATTGGCAACAGTCATTTCTCGGGCGCGAAGCCTGCGATTGGATTTGTCCTCGCCGTACGTCGGGGCAGCACTCGTTTTTGATACGAGGAGTTTGCACCCAACGCCAACGCAGCCCTCGTGTCCAATGCGTGCTCGAAGTGCGTGCCTTAACGGACGACTGTCGCAGCGGCTTCTGGGTCTTCCGAGAAGGGTTAATTTTGTATCCTAGCTTCTTGACTCTTAGGATGAAACTTAATAGCAATAGAGCACACAAATTGTTAAAAACTCTCCTAGCGATTTCGATACATGCTGACAAACGAAATGAAACATGAAAAAATGAAGATGCAATCGATATGCACCACGAGTGGGCACAGAAAGGACGTGGGAGGGGTTCTTTTTAAGCCTTCAAATGATATATTACAGTGATCCTGCCAGGCCCTCGTAACAAAACCAAAAACCTCAAAGTTATACTTTTTTTCCTGGTGCTCGTGCTGGCACGTCTTAAAATCATCGGCGTGTGAGACTGATTTGCCGAGAAGCAGGGTTAGCCTTCTGCTCTCTCCGTGGCAGGCATTCATCGATTTCACACACCACAGTCTTAGTCTACTCCGCAACGTACCGTAATTCTATGCTATGATGCATGCACTGTGGCTTTGTTCCGCCCCCTGCACAACTCAGAAGTAAGCTTGGACTCACATTTGGCACCAAACACCGATGCAGCAGCCACACCTCCCAGGAAGTGCGTCGCAGGGCTGTCTTTGCCGGTAAGCTTGGTTGCAATCAGGTTGGTTGCCACAAAGGCACCGCCCGCAGTCACTGCGACAAAGGGAGACTTGAATGCATGGGACATCAAGAAGCCTCGCGTTCTTACCGTCACAGTTCCAAACTCGGTGGAAAGAAATCACTATTCGCATTTAAAGATATAACACAGTGAGGATTATGCGGATTGCCCGAAAAGAACAAACCAACATACAGCTGTTGTAGTCATAAAACAACTATCCGGAGAGCAGCAGTGGAGTACTTGAAATTCCCACATGTGTGGAAGCGTAGGTTAATGTTTATATTGCAAGACCTGCGCCGTAGGAAAACACACGCGCAAGCACCAAGAGAAAGGCACTACAAACACAAGGTTCAACTTTCACCTGGGAAGACCACACGTCAAATATAGTTCTGTCTAAATGTTTAAACGGTCCGGTGAACTTTGCAACGCGCTAAGTTGCTGAAATCGGCTGATTCTAGCGGACAAATTGAGGCGCAACCATCAGTGCGAGCAAAGTCAAGGCTACGGCGTTTGCATAGCCAGCATTGAGCTAAAAGCCATCACCATTACCCCTTTTTGTTTGTTTTACTTCTCCGCGCAAGCGTAACACGTGACGTCAGCAACGTTTCCTCTCGGCATTCAGCGATGCCCACGTGATTAGCGTCAAGTGCCTGCACAGCACGCATCTTGGGAGTTGCTTGGCCGTCCCGCCATTAACGGCAGCATAGCTGCCGTGCTCGTTTCAGTTTGTGATTATTGTCTCCTGGAGTTTCGTTCGCACTACATGCGCAGGCTGATGTCGCAGTTGTGCAGATATGGTTGAATGTCGTAGACACCAAAACGTGGTGAAGAGTTCAATGCAGACAACACTTGTGCTTGGCACATGCCTGCCCCAATTTCATCCGTTATTGCGTAAAGAATCACAAGACATTTCATACCACGTGACAGCCATGATGATTTTAACCCAAAACTGGGGCATGGTTGAAAAAACCCCGAGACAGGAGCAGAAGGAGGAAAATATTTTTGCAGCTGGAAGAAAAAGTAACAGGAACAGATGGCATCTCTAACTCAGCTAATTATTTTATTCAATCAACCTCCTTCCCTATATACACAACTACAACCGCCACAAATGCACCAAACATCCTGTTTTTCAAGGTCACACACAGACAACCCTCACCCACAACACGAAAGGAACCAAGTGAGGCCTCCTACAAAGCACAACCACCTTTTGGTTTAGATAAAAACCCTTCTAGACAGCTAGAGGTCACAAAAATATAGAATGCTTCTGAACTATGACACACATACACATACACGTCTGATCCACCCTTTGGGTGGATCAGACGAAAACCTTCTGAACTCCTATCTCCAAAAACCACAGCTAACAAAACAAAAAATAAAAAAAAAACTTTTCAGCTGTGACACACAGCCATGGTTGCACCCTTGATGCATCATCTACACAGTGGTCTTTTCAAGTCTTGACCGAACAGAACTTTTTCTTTCTAGGACAAAAGATTTAAAAAAAAAACATTCAACCCAACTATAAAAAAACAGTCATTGATAAGGGATGCATAAAGCTCCACATTTGTCCCAAACCTCGCACCTTGACTTCAAGCATACAGGAAAGACCATCAAGGGGACGAACAAAGCACTGGCAAATAGTGGACAACCAAGGCAATGCGCAACTAGAGTAGCAAAAATTATTTTGAAGTACTACCAAGCTGCAAAGAGGTCCGACTGATAGAGTGTCCTATTGTTCTTATCCAGATTGTCTATTTTACAACCCTCTTCATGTTATCTAACTCTTGGAGTACCATTTCTGTTCCTGACCTTTGTGCACTGCAATTACCTTTAAAGATACCTTTGGCTTGTGATCTTAAGTATGTAGGGCAAACTTCAAGGGTGTATCAATGACAGGTTAGGAGAATACAAAAGAAACAAAGAATAATGCTGCAAATTTGGAATTAGCTAAACACCTGCATGAATGCAGTAATTGTAGTGCACAATGGTCAGGAACAGAAATAGTACACCAAGAATTAGATAGCATGAAGAGAGTTGTAAGAGAGACAATTTAAATAAAAAGAAAAGGACACTGTCTCATTTAGGCCTCTTTGCAGCTTGGTAGTACATCAAAGAAATTTTTGCAACTCTAGTTGCACGTTGTGTTGGTTGTCCAAAATGTGCTTTTTTTTTTTTTTTTTTTTTTTTTGTCCCTTTGATGGTTTTTCCTGTACACTAGAAGTCGGGGTGTGAGGTTTCGGTCAAGCTTGGAGCTTTATGCCTCCCTTATCAATAACTTTTTTTTTTTTTTTTTTTTTTAATAGTTGGGTTAATTGTTTTTTTATTGTTAGTTGATCTTTTTTTTGTCCTAGAAAGAAAAAGTCATGTACAGTCAAGACCAGCAGCGTAGACTTTCCATTTTCCCGGGGGGGGGAGGGGGGAGGAGGGGTGTGTGTGTGTGCTGAGTGTTATTTTTTTGCCAGAACTGGAGATGGAAGCTAACGAAAACACGCTGGAATTCCATTTCCCATGTATTTTGTCAATAAAGGCAACGTGCGCGTTATTTTGTTTACATGTCACTACTAGAAGCTTGCTACATGGCACGTAAACAGCGCCTCGGTAAGGATCATGGCCCAAGCCCGAGGGGGGGGGGGCTCTGCCCCCCCCCCCCCCCCCCCCCTTTTCCCCGGATTTCACCAGGGAGGCACAAGCCCCACTGCCCCCCCCATAGTCTATGCCTATGGTCAAAACTCTATTGAAAAGGTCACAGTGTAAATGATGCACCAAGAGTGCAACCCTGACTGTGTGTCGTGGCTAAAAAAAAAATTGTCTTTTTGTTAGTGTGACTTTTTGAGATAGGAGTCCAGAAGCTTTTTCCCTAAGCCACCGAAAGGAATCACTGTGTGTGTGTGTCGTGGTTCCAAAGCATTGTATATTTTTGTGACCTCTAGCTGTCCAGAAAAATTTTTGTCTAAACCGAAAAGTGGTTGCATTTTGTAGGCCGCCTCGCTTTGTTTCTTTTGTGATGTGGGTGGGGGTTGTGCGCGCGACCTTGAAAAACAGGATGTTCGCTGGTTTTGTGGCGTTTGTAGTTCTGTATATTGTCACGGATGGTAACCAGAAAAACAATAAATAAACAGAAAGAAATAAACGTTCTATGTGGCAAACTTGTGCCAAAAATAAAAGGGTACAAAAGATAATAACAGAGTGTCGCGGACGTCGAAGTCGGCGTAACAGCAGAGTCAAACGCTGGGGCGAGACCGACTCTGCTCGCCTTGCGGAGTCCCTTATGTACCCTTGTAGGTTTCTGGATCATTCGGTGCGTAGAACATTCAGAACTTGATCAGACGAGAATGTTCTCAACTTTACGAGAAGGCCAAGTTGAAAGAATAAATAGAAGGACAGTCCGCAGACTGGAATCGAACCTACACCTTCCGAGCGACAGTCAAGCGCGGTAACCACTCGGCCACACATGCGCTTGCTCGCCAACGCGCGTGGCATTATAGGTAGGTTGGTTCAATTTAATTATTAGCTGAGTCAGAGAAACTGTCCCTGTTACTTTCTCTTCCACTGTAATATATTTTCCTCCTGCCCATCTCAGGTTAAAATCATCACGGTAAACTTCCACCAGCCCGCCTGAACACTGACCGTCCCTTTGTGATAGCCACGTTTTTGGCGGCCCGAGGCCAATGTTGCCAGACGAAGCCGAAGTTTCGGTTACAATTTTTGCTCAAGTTTAAAGTAAGATTCAACTATATATATATTTTTGCGAAGCAAATAATGTAGTATCTTTTATTAGAGCTTTTTAATGTGAAATCTCTCATTATCCCCAAATTTTAAGAATTGAGCGGAGACGTCTTTTAAAGGGTAGCACCGGTCAAAAGTCGAACCAAAGTAAATGACTGATAACAACTTACAGAGATACAAGCACTGCCAAAATATTGCACTAACGGGAAACCGCGATCCACTCTAAAACCAATATTAAAAATGGCACGTCCAGCTTCTTAGCAGGCACTCAGCAGTTTGGCTGTTTGAAGAGCAAACTTGTGCCCTCAGCCCTGTTGTCATCTTCGTTTCAAATGGAGTTTCTTGTTTGTCCTGCCACCTCTTTTGCAGTGTTTTTCTGCTGCATTTTCAGCCGTCCCAGAGGACGATTTTTGCATGCATGCTCTACGGCGATCGCACAAAAAGATTACTGATTCCACACTTGCACAAGCGCGTCGTGGTGCCGAAGGCGGCATTCACTGGCAGCCATAGTTTAGTCTGTTTCTGCTCAGCGCAAGCTTACGTTTCCGCAACATGCACTGCACACCATCAAGATTGCAGTTCTCCTCAGAAGTGGGGGCTCGTTTCAAGCCTGAATTCATCGTGTCAAGCTCTCTTTTCGGCCGGCAACTTTAATACTTGCTACAGATGCTTGTTATCTGCAAAGCAATAAAACAACCGTAGCATCTTACCTCACCCATTGGAACTACTCCTGCAACTAGGCCCGTCATACGCTTGCCGGTACCGCGGTACAAACTTTTCGTCACACGAGAGCTGGGTTCGGATTCGAATTTAGGGCTAACCCCTTTGGGGGATCTCAACTAGGGTGCTGGATATAGCCATTCGCATGGCCATCCAGCAGCCGTCCAGTCTTGGTTTTGTTGCTTCAACTGGTGGTCCACCCTTGGCTCGCTGCTCGGCCGGCCGACTTCGTCGCCGTCCCGGAAATTCAGTGCCACCGCCATGTTCCGGCTGCAGGCTGCTCGAGTGCGACGTACTCCGCCGTCACCCCTTTTGTGCACCCGGTGCATCTCATGTTTACATCAGAGTATTTTGCTCCACATACCCGAGTACCCAGCGTCCCTCTTTGGGCATCCAAGGGTAGTGCACTGCCCCTGCTGGTATCCAGGAAGTCCATTCTCTTGGTCTCCTCCCTAGTGTACAGGGTAATCGCCGACTTCCATGCCACCGCCTCGGCCCACTGCTGCACCTACCTTTGATACACCCTGGCCCATACGTCTCCCCGTTGTCCCTCGTGCCTTTCTTCAGCTGAATAGAGGAGTGGGTCACTGAC